CTCTCTCTCTCTCTCTCTCTCTCTCTCTCTCTCTCTCTCTCTCTCTCTCTCTCTAGTGAATCAAAAATTATTATTATTATTATTATTTTGTTTCCCTAAACGCGACCAGTAGGCTGAAAGTTATAAAATGAACAGTTCCTATCGCTACCAGCAGAATACTAAGTAATAGAGACCTCAGGTCCCCTGCGCCTATCGCTCCCGGCAGAATGCTAAGTAAGTAGTAGAGACTCATGTCCCCTGCGCCTATCGCTACTGGCAGAATACTAAGTAATAGAGACCTCAGATCCTCTGTACCACTTTGCCAGCGCAAAAATGATTACCAAAGTAATAAAGACCTTAGACCCCTGTACCGGTTCCCCTGCTCCCACGCCCTGCAACTCTTGACTATTTTGGAGCAAGGCTGGTTTCTTGCATTACAGGCTGTATGCACAAGTTATTCCAGTTTCACTCCTCACAGTGGAATAGAACGGGAGCAATAACCCTAACATATAACTGCTTTTGCAGGTGTGCATGATGGGCCCTGCAGGATGAGGAGTGGCAGCCCAGGTTGATTCTCCCCCTCCCCCCCCCCTGCCACAAGCAGATTGGTTGACCTAATTTTACAATCGTGAATATCGGAGCGAACTTTAATTCAATTGAATTTGAAGTCACACAGTGACACACAGTGAACACACTGTGCGGCGTGCGCAGCATTACTTCTCACAGGATACACACAATTCTTTTGAAGCTGCAGACGAAATGCCTGAGCGCTACCCTTCGAGAGCGTTACCCTTCCGGAAGGGTACGGTAATGTTCGTCGGTTTTGCTTGCAGCTTTGAGCGCATTGTGGAAGTAATGTCCAGCGCAGAGTGTTGAGTGTGTGATTTTTTTTTTTTTTTTTTTTTTTTTTTTTGGTTTAAAACAGGTCCTTATGGTCCTGGCTCCATGTCCATTCTGGGGAGCGTCAGTCCGGTTCCTATTCCCCCGGCAAGTCATTGGGTGTGTGATTTCTCAATTCGATTCGATTCGATTCGATTTTTCTTGGCTCTCCGTCTCTTATTCTTATGTTCTTTCTGTGTGCTTGAAAAAGCGACTTTCGTGAATGCACGCAAAAAGTTACGGGCAAGCAAGTAATGTCAGCTGACCGTCGTTGTTGTTGGGCTAAATTCGCAGAGCGGTCATCGAAGGAGAAGGTGAAACATCCATGGAGAAGACCTCTGCATACACAGCTGCAGTTAGTTCCCTGTGAGATGAGAAACGGCGTCGACCAATATGTTCACGCAGTTGACGAAGTAAAGAAACTGAAAGAGAAGAGCCAGTTCAGGGGTGTATACAAGAACAACTCGAAATGGCAAGCTGGAATCAAGGTGAATGGAAAGCAGCTTCATCTTGGAACAGTGTCTACGGAAGAGGCAGCGGCACACCTGTATGACAGGTTGGTGTTTTTTAATTTTTTTTCCCAATAACCAAAGATGTATGACAGGTTGGTCCTAATGCTTCCCTGTTCATTCATAGCTCCACGTGAACGATGCAAAGCTTGTACCTCCTGTAAAGCTCGGATGTTTAAAGTTCGAACCTTTGCCCAACTTTTGAGATGATTGATATCGTGGTTTCTGCGATTACGTGCATGGAGAGCATAAGCATATCCACTCGAAAAGACACAGGGGCTGAGCTGGCAATTGGAGGAATGCCGGAGGGGTATAGAAGTGGTATGGGCGGTGGTCGAGGGACGTTGGAGGCGTGTATGGGCCTTTTGGTGGGCGAATTGGGGGTTCTGGACCCCCGACCGGTAGGTGCCAACCAACCGACTGGTCTGCTGGTCGGCCGCCGACCAGTCAAGGGGCGCCGACCGTCAGGGTATGCAACACTGGTTGATTTCGTAACTCAACATTCTGCAAGAAATTAAATTAAATTCATTTATTGAATATAGGGTAGCCTGCTATTCATTCATTCCGCCGATTAGGCGAGGCTACGGTGCCTTTCTTTCTTTTTCTTTTCTTTTTTTGTTTGTTTGTTTCTTTTCTCTAATCTAAGGCGCCTCTATTATATTCTCAGCTTCCCTGACAATCCTGCTGTACACTACCGGGCTTAAGATGGTGTGTGTACATGGGTGGCCTTTGCGGTGCTAAGTGGATGCACACAGTTTAATAGAGTGACAGCTCCACAAAATGGGTTTGGATTCTTTGGAAGCAGCATTGGTTTTTATGTTCGTGGACAATCGAATGCAGATTCAATCAGGTGGTTTCAACTGCTTTGTCTACTTTTTCAATCTACTCCACTTTTTAAATCAAGGTTCCTTTGGTCATCTCTTTTTGAACAATGAAGGCCTTGATGATATGCCACTGTTTGCAATTGCAGGGCTGCCTATATATTGGGCCGTGATACTAATCTCCCCATCGTTACTGCGGAGAAGGAAGACTTAGACAAAATGACGTGGGAGGAGTTCATAGCATCAACCAAAGGAGGAATGCTTTTAAAAAGAGGTAAGCATGTGCCAATATCACTTCCTTTGGATGCAACGTGCCAACGACCTTGTAAATGTGAGCGGTTTGTTCATCTCTATTTTGTAATTTTTGTTCCTATTTTTTGGTGGGGAAGCGGATTTTTCTCTGGCTGAATGTGCAATGGCAGGGCAAATGTAGAATGAACATTTGTGTGTCATTCAGCAGCACTCGAGCGCACGGGTCAATGCGGGGTGAAAATTCCACCCATTTGTGAATCCCATGTGCCATGCTTGAGTGAAGCCAAAGGTGGAATGAAAAGCTTTGTGGCATCGAGAACGTTCATTGGACTTCAAGGAGTTGTTGTTGATGTCTGCGGTGATGTCGGCGCTGATGCGAACATTGATATTGCTGGCAAGAAACGTTCAGATAATAGATAGGAGAAGGGGGGGGGGAGGAGAAGGGGGGGGAGGAGGAGGAGGAGGAGGAAGAGGAGGAGGAAAAGTAAGAGCTGTGAATCCCCTGACGATTTTGATGATGATATCCAGTTGTGCTCAGCGAAGTTCAAAGTTGAAAAACTTAGTGTCTGTTCCCCAAGCAGAATTTGATTTGATGTCAGCTACCGTCTTCACCCTAATAGAACGCCCGGTAATTATCACCGTATCTGGGCTGAAAGTTGTGCCAAATACAGCTATAATGACCGGGCATTATATTCGGGTGAAGACGGTACGTAGTGAGACAGACAAGCAGAGAGGGGCAGACATACACAGACAGGGCAAGATATATAGAGTCACCCGATGTCTGGCGGGTACGTGGCGCGTGGCTTCACTAAAGGGGGGGGGCCCTGCAGCCATTTTGGTGTTGAGATGAGGCAGTGGGATGGACAGAGGGCTGGAAGGCCTCAGAGCCGATCGTTTATGAGGGGCTTGAGCATCAGTAGTGGGTGTGGTGTTGGGTGGGGGGTGGGGGGGGGTCAAGGGGCTGGCAAAATTAGCTGTAGATTGAAGATTTGTGAACTCCGAGTCTCACCAAGCCTTCATTAACCTGATGATGTCGTTCAGTTCGGGCCTTCACCCTTTGTCATCCGTTGCGGGATGCCTGAAATACTAAAACAGGAAACATGCTGCTAAGGGCCTTTAGGCCAAAAAAAAAAAGAAAAAAAAAAAAAGAAAAAAAAAGGCCTCTTACCCTCCCTAGGCCTGAAGCTTTCTTTTATTATTCCAACCTGACGAGGTTCGAGCCTTCGAGGTTCATGCTATCCTCCATGCCAATAACAGGTTGCAGGGGAGAAGGGGGGTTGTAATGGTGTGGGTAATGCACAACGGATTACACATTGTGCATTATAACCGTATTTTTTTGGGGGCGACGTTCAGTCTTTAGATGCATTCACCCTTGAGATAACCACCTGTATCCCACGTTCACCGGAATAGAACACCCTGATATTATAGCCGTATTTGGGGCAACGTTCAGTCTAGATGCATTCCGTTCAAGTGAAGATGGTAGGTAGTACTAGTCATTGTGCATCAAACCAACCAACGTGTGTTGGCGGATTTGAAAGATGCAAATGCCGGGACAGTGGACACCCAACCCAGTAAAATTGGAACGATACAGAGAAGGGGAAGATTGGCATGGCCCCGGTGCAAGGATGACACACGTAAATTGAGAAATAGTCCAACTTTTTTAAAAGGAAAGGCCCTCCCCCCCTCCCACCTAGCCCCCCCCCCACATAAATAAAAAAAAGATGCAGATGGCAGATGTACTACACATGCTTTAGTCATGAAGGAGGTATTCTCTCTGATTAGGTAAGCGTTCGCCTCATTGGCATCGGTGAAGGTCATTGGCAATCATCGTGAGTTGGCACTACCGTCTTCACCCGAATAGAACGCCCGGTCATTATCGCTGCATCTGGACCGCAAGTTGTGCCAAATACGGTTGTAATGACAGGGCGTTCTATTCGGGTGAAGAGGGTAGTGCTGTTGAGCACCAGTTCATTGTATAGAGACCCCCCTTCACCCATGTTCCCTCCTTATCAAACCACACTGCAGACTGATTACTTTTCGCTACCCCCGAATCAGCCGTTGGATTCAGAAGATGGAAAAGGCCTCTGCAGTTTGGACTTTGGAGGCAAATTCTCGAATACCCGAGTAGCTGCTTTTCAAATTGTGAATACACTCCCCCGGGGCCAAGTCCCACCAGCAGCGTTGAGCTTCCTCAACGTCCGAACTGGACGTGTTTGTGGAGATGTGCCGTTGAGGAAACTCAACGCTATGTTCTGCACATCTCCACAAACAAGTCCAGATTCGGGCGTTGAGGAAACTCAAACCTGCTAGTGGGACCTGGCCCTCGAACAAATGGTTGAACTTGCAGCAGGAAGTTGAAGTGCTGTATTCCTACTTTTTAAAGTTGTTTCCTTTCTTTTTTTTTTTTTTCCGGAAAGGGCGGCGGGCTTGGGGTATCCTCATCATTGAACTGACCGACCCCAGGCAATTCAGACTGTACTGTTTTGTTCTCGTAGTCTGGTTGCATCTGGATTCGAACTCCGGTCTGAATTTCAACAGCTCGAGGGTTTACCAACTTAACCTTAACTGAAGTGGGCCCATCCATTAGGGGATACATGGTTGTCTGGTTGGCCCATATTCCACGAGTGTACTGTTTGCTCGTCTGGCCCTAATATATCGGGTCAAATGTTGATGTCAACACGTCCTTTGTTGCAACAGCACAAGGTTTGAAGCGAACGAAGAAGTGAGGTGTTGCTCTCTGGTGCTATTTTTGACTGTTAATGGGAAGGCATTAGGGGACACCAGTTTTAATCTTCGTGAGCTGCACAGATTGCAGGGCAAAATTGTCCGGGAGGGGAGGCGCTCGATTGAAGACGAGAGGGAGGAATACAGCGCAGTGTGACACAGAGGAGAAGCGTGAAGATCAACCTGTAATGGTGCAACCTGAGAGAGAGGAAGTGGCTCGCCTGTCCCCTCCTGTGACACGTAGATCCTCGATCATGGCAGGTAGGGATCGAGACCGGGAGTGCAGCCCTGCAAAGGACAGCAGTTTGAGGGCAAAAAGGACAAAGACCGACAGTGCCGGGCACGGGAAGGTCCAGAACTTCGACCAAGGAAGCGATTCATCCATGCATTTCGCAGATGTAAATGATACGGCAAACGCAGCAGATGATACAGAGAGCAGGACTCGCTGGATGATCTCATGCCTGGTGGAGGCCTTAGAACAACATCCTTAGCTGTGGCACGAATCATGCGGAGCTGTAGGTGTCCAAGAAGGAGGGGATTCCGAATTTGATTTCTTCTGCTGTGACAAAGGAGGCAGTTGCAGCGGTCCGTGAGAGCTGTGAGGAGTACTTGTGATTTTATGAAGTGTGGCATGGCATCGCTGAACCGAACCTGTAAGTTGTATGCCCACAGAGAATGTCTCCCGCTTCCTGAGCGATGAACCAACACTCCTCGCCTGCTTTTAGTAGATTCGCATCCATGACAGTCTTACTCGAATGACTAACAGCCTTCACAAGTCTCAATGAGCCGCCGCTGATTTGACTTCTGTTGCCGGCTTCCCTATTTGCCCAGGCTGCACATTTGTCTGCATCTGCTGGTGGGAAGCGGTGACGTCTGCTGGTCTGTTCGTACTTCCAGGGAGGTCGTTCAGCCTTTTGCACATTGGGATAGCTGCTGCATTGCGCTATTGTGCGAACCCAGTTTGCCAGAAAGCCTTACAGATGGCTGCGTCGTTATAATTTATTCCTGTTCCGACTCCAGAGCCCGCAATTTGTTCGGCCCGCCTCCCTCTCAGCCAGACCTTGTGTACACCTTATAACTGTGGGCGAAGCCTCCCCACATCCATGAGTCCTGTACGAATCGCCTGGCTGGGCATTCGTCACGAAGGAGTCAATTCCTTCTGGTATCCAGAAGCAGGAGACAACTTGTGGCAAGCAGAAGGTGGTGGTTATAAGGGAGACGAGGGGATCACCACCGCCATTTCCCACTTTCCATCTCTCTCTCTCTCTCTCTCTCTCTCTCTCTCTCTCTCTCTCTCTCTCTCTCTCTCTCTCNTCTCTCTCTCTCTCTCTCTCTCTCTCTCTCTCTCTCTCTCTCTCTCTCTCTCTCTCTCTCTCTCTCTCTCTCTCTCTCTCTCTCTCTCTTGCCGTCTTCCCCTCTTTGTCACACCTGCCCATTCCCTGTGTTCTCCCTGTCTTCCCGCTTCTGGATGGGCCCAGGTTGTAGGAGTCAAACGCAGCATGGCAATTTGTGTCTTGAGTCTTGATACCATTTTCCCAGTTTGCTTTGTTCGGTCTTCGGTTATCCTGCTCAAGGTTATGTTGATATGTTTGGTTGCATTCAACTGCCTTGCAGCAGGATAGCTTGCTCTTGACCTTTCACTTTTGGGTTTTTCTTAACTTCGTTTACGACTTCAGTAGCTCGGATGCCCCTGTGTACATATAAGTGCATTCACTGTTTGAGAGTTGCCTTCATTATTTTGCCTGTAATAACACATAACGGACCTGCACTATGATGTTGTTGGGATCCTCTGTTATGCCATTTCCGCGGCCAGCCATCTTTTCTCTATTGTCTCTTCATGATTCTAGCTTCAAGTGACCTTGAAATGATATGATTTCTTAAGTTCTTAACCCATGGACAGACCATGGCGGTGTGTCGATCGAAGACGAGTTGTTGATGTATAGAAGGAAGGGCTGAGAGAGAGAGAGAGAGAGAGAGAGAGAGAGAGAGAGAGAGAGGGAAAGAATTGTCGAGGGAAGGACTGAAGTACAACAAGGGAGAGAAGGAGTTGAGGGAAGGGAAAGGACAACAAAGGGCAGCGGACATGGAAGACCGGATCAACCAGGAAGGACCTGCTGGTGCCCGCCCATATATGATTCCCAGTCGGCGTTTCTGTCCTGCAAGCGGGTTCTCTGGCCCAGCACGGCAGGTAGGTTGTGATCTCTGTCCTGCCTAGCCTAACTACTTTCATCTCCACGTCTCGACATCATGCGCACTCCTTAACTTTGCAATTCGCCGCCTGATGATCGATATGATCGATAGGAAACGGAGAGGTTGATCAGCATACCCCCAACCTTTTTTTTCTGGAGGGAAGAACCGAGGGGATCGATCTCTGAATTGATGAGAGGCTTCCTGCTGTGGCTGATGAATTTGAATGATAAGCATTTGAAGACAGAGAGCAGACAGAGCTGCGATAACATCCTGGCTATTTGGGAAGCGGAGATGGCTTTCTGGTTGTAATTTGTGACTCAACCAAAGCGCATCTCAAGAGTGGCAGAGCTTATTCTCAAGTCACAGCTCTTTCTTTCTTCGATTGTCTAGGTAGGAGGAACTACTCATGGCAGGGAGATGAATTTGTGACCATACATGTGAGAGAATGGAAGCATCTGGGTGTGTGATCAGACATACAGCTTACCTTGTGTCGAAAGGAAGAGGTGTCGCGCCTTGCGATTCTCTGTCGTACCTCAGCGTCCCTCCTTTTTTTTACGCAGAGCATGAAATGTGGTGCCAATAAGTTTGATGCCACACCGCTGGGTCTCTCTTTGCGAAAGACAGACATCTGGGATATCTGCTGGAGACGATAGGCATTCATTTCATTCATGCTTTTTAAATGATGAATGAATGAATCGCATGATGCGGCAGGTGGCAACCTAGCAAGGCCATTCGCTTCCGTTCATAGCCAGCGAGGTTTTTTTTTTTTTTTTTTTTTTTTTT